GTGACTGACCCCTTGTGGTGATATTAAGAGCACGCGCCCTGTTCCTTAAGTGGATGGGTATTTGGGCATCAGGCGTAGTAGACTGGGTATGAATGGGAATGAATAATGGAAGGGATGGATTTGGTGTTCCATATTACATATTATCAGTATTGCGTAACTGGGATGACGTCATATCGCAACGTCATATGTTGATATGTCTCTTACTGTGGGACAGTTTATTCCTCTTCAAAATGTTCTCTATCTCAGCAGGATCATACATGTCATAGAAGAGTTACTTCAGATGTATTTTAATTGACCCCTTGGCCGTTCCCTCACCGCTGCACGTGACTTGTCCCTTCGTGTGTGTAAGTGGACTCTCTCGCGTTTTATTCAATTGATAAAATCGTATAGTGTTCAAGGAAAGAGAAATCGAGATAAGAAATAGCTAAATATGTAAATATAAAACACAAAAATATAAAGAAATAAAGACGCAAAGAGTAGTAGTCAGAGATTAGAATGAAACAAAACAAAATATGAAAGAAAGAAAGAAAAAAAAAATACCGAACACGAACACTCTTATCCAAAATATCCAAAAATAAAACTACGAACAGCCTCCCGTTCCTTATCCTTCGTTAAGAACCCCCAATGAACGTCCTCTATCGGTTATCTTAAGCCCCATAGACGCCCGTAAGCCAGAGGAGGCGTGGGCGTCCCGCAGAGTGAGCACCGCAACCTTGTCCCCTTGTCCATGATGCTATCTCACCGATGCTACCCACCCTGCCTCTCGTTTTATTCGCTATGCCCATCTTTCTTATTCTTTTACTCATTCTTTCCTTCACTTTTATCTTTTTATTGTCTCTCATTTTCTTTTCTCCGAAGTCTGGGTTGGTTTTCGATCTTTGGTTAATAAGAATTCGTGGTTTAGATTCCCAGTGAAGTGTTGACGCGAAAGAGTAAATGTTGACGTTACGCTGTATGCACCGACATGTAATCAAGGGTTGCGTGTACGTGCGAACGTGTGTATATGTGGGCGTGTGTGTGTGTGTGTGTGTGTGTGTGTGTGTGTGTGTGTGTGTGTGTGTGTGTGTGTGTGTGTGTGTGTGTGTGTGTGTGTGTGTGTGTGTGTGATCAATGGAAAAGGCAAGAAGAGAAAAGAAGAAGAAAAACAGAGAGAAAAAATAAACAAAGCTAGAGAAAACGAGGAGCAGAAAAAAAAATCTCGAAAGAGAGAAAACGATAAAGGCAGAGAAAACGAGAGAGACCGAGAAAAAGTAACGAGACACGAGGGTGTGACAGCAGCCCATAAGGCAGAGTGAAGTGACGTGGGCGGGAGAGGAATGCTTGAGGGCGGCGCTGCACGATGCAAGGGAAGGACAATTTGCACGGTATTCCGTATTTTATTTATTTATTTATTGTGTTTTTCATCCGATTTTTATTATTTAACGGCGACTATTTTTTCCTTCCGAAGCAAAATCCGAGCGTCGAATGCGAACAATTATCATTAGATCGCCAAATATAAAAGTCGAACAACAAAAAGAAAAAAAAGAGGAAACAGAAGAAAAAAAAAAAAAATGAGAAAAGAGAAAAAAACAGAGAAGAAAAGAAAATAGCATAAAATACAATAGAAAATAGAGAAAAGGAAAAGAAAAGATCAAGCCTAGAAGCGATTTCATCCCCCGAAACCCTCGTAAATCATGAACGAGACTCCCCACGACCCTCGCCGTCACCTCCTCACGACCCCGACATGTGTCCCGACGACCCGACACGCTCCGCCGATCCGTCTACGTCGCTAATGACACCTCGGACGACTACTGCGACGGTACGACTTAAGCGATGACGACGACGAGAAACTACTGTTATTACGGTTGGTGGGGGGTCGTGCAGGTTTGGCAAGAGGAGGGGAGAGGAGAGGGAAGGAGGGAGGAGAGGAGGGAGGGAGGAGAGGGAGAGAAGGAGAGGGAGAGGGAGAGAGGAGGGGAGAGAGAGAAGGAGAGGAGGAGGAGAGAGGGAGAGGAGAGAGAGAGCGCCGAAAGAAACCGGTGTCCAGGACGGCAACTGCGGTGGAACTAAGTCAATACTCGGGTTTCGGTTGTTGGCGATTCCGTTCATTTGGTTTATTTTAGGTTCGTATCACTCTGTTTAGCTTTGCATGTTTGTCTATGCCGGTATATATAATATATATATATATATATATATATATATATTTATATATATATATATGTATATATGTATATATATATATATATATATATATATATATATATATATTATATATATATATATATATATATATATATATCTATCTATCTATATGCATACATATATATAAATATAGATATATTTATCTATTCATACACACACACACACACACACACACACACACACACACATATATATATATATATATATATATATATATATATATATATATATATATATATATATATATATATATATATATATATATATATATATATATATATATATATATATATATATATATGTATATATATGAACAAATATATAGGCATACACATAAGCATCCGCATCAGGAGAGCCACTTACCCCCCCCACCGCCAACTCCCGGCGCAGCGGAGACTTCAACGCCAAGCCAAGTAGTAAGCCAAGCCCTCGCGCTAATGAAAGGCCCAAACCCGCCGCCTCTACGCCTAAACGGAATCCATTATTCTTATCAGCAGAAATACAGGCACGAGAAAAACCGCTACGCATGTTTTATTCACTAGGGGTTAGGGGACCTGGGCGATCTTACGTGCCCTGAAGGAGTAGGAGTGCGAGTCCGTAGCAGGGGACAACGGACGATAGCGAGGGTCACAGAGCTGTCTTGGTTTCTCTGTTTGATTCTTTGATTCTGCGTTTTTTCGTTCGTTGTGGGTTTGCTTAATATTTCTAATCATTCTTATTAATTTTATATAGTTATGTATTCATTCTTTTATCGTAAAATCGAAGTGAAAAAGAAAAAAAATATATACATTGCACAGGAAGTATAGGCATCGCGTAATGTAGTGAGACACCCCAACCCGTTTCTAGTGATCGCATAGTTTCAAAAGCTAATGTCCTGTCTCTGACGTTTTCGTTGAGGTCGCGTTCCACCCTCCCCCTTCCCTCTCCCTCCCTCCCCCCTTATTTTTTTTGCCCGAATTAGTAGCGAAGCGAAGATCCCTTTCGTGTCAACAAAGACGAAAGAAGATCCATCTCCTCATTGCCTTCTTCAGAAATCTAAAGTGTAATGTTATCCTCCTTAAGACCCCATATTTGTCATTCCTCTCTCATACTGGCGGGGTTATTCACACTGGTCCATTTTTTTCTAAGCTCACTCACTTAGGGTGTTTAACGTACCAGGTGGAAGCTTCTACCGCGTCACTGCTGTCATAGAGCTGTGTGTCTTTCGAGGAATTTGTGGAGCATCAATTTAGTGTTTACATCTACTATATAATTCCATGTGTATTATACTGAGCCTTCTCTTTTCAGAGAGTTCTTGGAACAAATTTATATATATGTGTGTTATCGTAACTTCTTGATTTATAACTTCTTTAAAACAGGATAATGTACTGAATAACCTTTATAACTCAATGTAAACGTATTCAACTATATTACGTTATCCTGACACAAGAGGGAACAACGATCATACACCAACAGTCCTCATAACAAAAGCGTTTGATATGCGCCCAAGTATTTTGATAACAATAAAAATGATGACAACGTATATATGTATATGCGTGTGTCAACCCTGAAACAGAAAACGGAGCGCGGGTGTTCAGCAGGTTTTCATTCATCCGCCGCTTAACCTGACGCGATGCACAGCCCGAGTAACCTTGAACTTGAAAACTTTTCCAGCAACTCACTCGCTCTCTCTCTCTCTCTCTCTCTCTCACTTTTTTTTATTTCTCTTTCTGTTTCTTTCACTCTTTATCTCTCTATACGTATAAACCTTTCTGTGTCTACCCCTGTGCCTGTCTATCTATCTATCTGTCTATCTCTCTCATTTACTCACTCGCTCTCTCTCTCTCTTATAATCACTCTTTTTCTTCTCTCTCACTCTAATGCACTCCTTTCTCTCTCTCTCTCTCTCTTTCACTCTCACTCTTTTCTCTCTCCCGTCGCCGCTTCCGTTTACATTTCACACGCACGCCCGCACGCCCGCATTCCACCTTCCCAGCCGCCCGCCAACGACGTCCGAGAGTGGCTTCCGTCCGGCCGCCCACCTTTCCTCGGAGCGCCGCGGTCGGGTTCTCCAAGGCGTTACGTCCTCGTGAGATAATTTTGGTAACGGCGCTAGCGGTTCTCGGGCGGATCGTGTGACGGGAACGCATCTCCGTTTCCGTCGTTCCGTCCGATTTACGATTTTGTGGTGGCGTGTGTGCGTGTGTGTCTTTGGCGGTCGCGGAGGCTGGTTGGGAAGGGGCGTTGTCGGGGGCGGAGGACACTTTGCCTTGTGAATGTGCTCGGGGTCGAGGAGGGAAATGGTGCACTTTGCCGTTACAATTAACCGAAAGAGATAACATTATGTACATACATACATGTATATATGTATATATATTTATATCTATATACATATACATATATATATCTAGATATATACATATATATGTATAAATATGTATATATATACATATGCATATATATATATATATATATATATATATATATATATATATTATATATATATATATATATATATATATATATATATATATATATATATATATATATATATATATATATATATATATATATATATATATATATATATATATATATATATATATATATATATATATATATGTATATATATATATATATATATATATATATATATATATATATATATATATATATATATATATATATATATATATATGTATATGTATATATATGTATGCGTATATATATGTATTATATACAAATATATAAAAGTTCTGTTCCAGTAGCCCGCTTGGCGTTTCATGTCTGCGGGAATACCGTTTCGCCCTTTGTTCGCCCGGGCTGCGTCCGGTACCTACCTCGAGTGCTGGATCTAGGAGCCGAAGGGCGCTCCAACTATCACAGCAGGCTTGGTAGATTGACCCTCCTCCCCCGTGCGACAGACGAGAGGTGCGGACAGCAACTGAGCCT